TGATTTTCTATATAATAATCCACAGAACTTCCCTGCATCAATTCCTGTTTGCATAGAGCATGTCCTTTAGAAAACATCCTTCCTTATTTTAAAATTACCACTGTTAAGGAATCCATCACAGCCCTGGTATGTTGTTCCAATGCTTAATTACCTTCACTGTTAAAAATGTGTGCCTTATTTCTACTGAGAATTTGTCTAGTTTCAACTTCCAGCCATTGAATCTTGTTATACCTTTCTCTGCTAATACAGAGAGACCATTATCATCTTTTTGTTCCCTGAGTTTGTACATACGACATACCAATCAGTTCACACCTCAGCCTTTCGGCCTGTTTCTATAACACGTTTCCCAATCCTTTAATCATTCTTGTGGATGTTCTCTGAATTCTTCCCAGTTTATCAGCATCCTTCCTGAACTGTGGACCCCAGAACTCGACAGAATATTCTAACAGCAATCACGCCAGTGCCAAATATTGAGGTAATAAAACCTCCCCACTTCTACTTGATAATCCCATTTGTACATCCTAGAAGTCCACTACTGTTATTGGCCAAAACATTGCATTGGCAGCTCATGTTCAGCTTATTGTCCACCATGACCCAAAGTAATTTCCATAGTCACTGCTTCCTTGAGTAGAGTCCCACATCCTGTAAGGATGGGCTGCAGGCTTTGTTCCTAGATGTGTAACTTTACTTTTGGTTTTGACTTTATACCTTTAACCTTAACTTTTGGTGTATTAAAACACATTATTTACTTGCACCCAGCTTACCAACAGATCCAGATCTCTGTACCAATCAACTGTTCATAAGAACAGCCATGCTGGATCAGACCAAAGATCCTGTCTGCTGACAGTGGCCAGTGCGAGATGCTCCACAGGGAGTGCACAGAACAGGGAATCTTCAAGCAATCCCTTTCCCGTCACCCATTCCCAGCCTCTGACAGAGGCTAGGGACACCATACGTTTCATTATATACCATTCCCCAGTCTTTGTGTTATCGGTAAACTTTATTAGTGATAATTAAGGCAAAGTTTATGTCACAGATGTCACAGAAGTCATGGAATCTGTGACTCTTAGAGACCTTTTGTAATGGTTTAGCTTCAGACCAAGGCAGCAGGGCTGGAGCTGTTAGCCAGCAGGGTGAGCTCTCCCTCTGCAACTCCCAGCCTCCAAAAAGCAGAGGTACCCCACAGCTCCCAGCCACCACAAGTGGCAGGAGGGAGTTTGGAGCTCTCAGCCACCATGAATGCAAGGGACCCCACATATCAAGCATTATCCACAAGTAAATGCCTACAAGCATTACGGGCAGTGGGGGAAGAGAGGAATCCTAGCCACCACAGCAGGAGGATCACCCCACAGCTCCCAGATAGTGTGGGTTGACCCCTGTAGTTCCCATTCATGGGAGCAGAGGGGTGGACCCTAGCAGCTCCCAGCTGACATAGGTGGGATCCTCGATCTACAAGCCACCATAGGCAGCTGGGAAATCCCAGACCCGCAGCAGCAGTGGGCTCTCCCCTCCTGCCCCATTTTGTCACTTTAGCAAAAGTAAGTGACAGGTCTCGGGCTACCTTGAATTTTTGTTTTTTGCCCATGATCTATAGTGACTTTTACTAAAAGTAACCATGTAGAATCTTAGTCTTACGTTTCCTTCCATGCCATTCATAAATAGTGCACAACCAAGAGTTGTTCGCAGTGGGACCCCACCTGCTGGATGATGAGTACTAATTTGAAGCTAGTCAATTAGCCAGTTTTTGATTCATTTATAAATAATTAGTTTCATTCCTAGTGAACATCCCTGGGCATTGCTCTTCCTTGTGGTAACCTTCCTTTTGCATCAGAATCTTGTGATGTGCTCCTTTTTTGACCAGCAGGAAATTTTTATAGTAGCTGCTAAAGAGGAATTCTGAGAGACAAACAGCAACTCTTGCACAATGCCTAGTTACTACCTTGATGGGCATCAAATAAAGGAATTATGAGTCCTTTTTACTCCTGTTGGCATCAGCAGTGAATGATAGCTCTGAGGATCTTGCCAGACCAAGCCGTGTTTTCATTTAGGAAGGACTAAGATGCACTAAAACAGGGGTTGGCGACTTTTTCAAACCAAAGAGCCAAACTACATGAAAATTCAGAACAAGTGGTCAACAAAGAACCATACTCGAATGGCCATTTGCATGACTGAAGATATACAACTTAATATTATTGATAATTGACATAAAGATTAATAATAGCATAAACAAAACACACACAAATTATTTAATGGAACTTGGTTGCTGCTGCATCTTTTCTCATATTTCTTTGAAGTTTATATCTTAACTGATCAAATCCAGCTTCATGCACGTATTCAAGCTCTCTTCTCTCAATCTTATGGAAGGGGGCTGGTGCTGTGTGGAGTCAGGAGTTTGGGTTCTTATGGAAGGGGGCTGGTGCTGTGTGGGGTCAGGAGTTTGGGTTGGGGTTTGAGGGGCTCAGGGCAGGGGGTTTCGGCGTATGACAGGCTCAGGGCACAAGCTTGGGATATGTGTGGGGTGCAGGAATGTTATGGCGGGGGACTGGAGATCTGGGGTATGAGGGACTCAGGGCAGGGGGTTCAGTTGTATGATGGTCTCAGGATTGGTATACAAGGGAGTGCAGGAGTGATGCTGTGGCTGTATGGGGGTTGGGCCCCAATTGGGGCCTTGTTGGCCAGGCTTACATTTTTAAATAAAGTGAAATGTTATGTCCAACACAAAAGGTTTCAACATTGTCTTTCATTATGGCAGGAGTGAAGAACTGAGTTTGGGTGAAGGAGGCAGTTCTGATCTGAGGCACAGGATTGGGGTGCAGTTGTGATCTAGGGCAGGGGATTACAGTACAAGAGTTTGGGTAGTGAACTAGAGCAGGGGATAACAGTGCAGGGGCTTGTGTTATGACCTAAGGCAGGAGGGGACTGTGATCTGGGGCAGGAGATTGGGGCGCAGTGTGTGAGAGGGAGAATGGATGTGCTGGGGGGGGCAGAGGGTTTGGGTTATGTGGGGTAGAAGTGAGGTGGCAGAGAGCTGGGGGGAGGGAGAGGCTGGGGTGCGAAAGGCAGGCTGTGACCGAGACACTTACCAGTAACACTTCAGGCCAGCAGCTCACCCATTTCTCCAGCAGGAGCCTGCCCCTTCCCCTCCCCGCCCAAACTGCATGGCCATGTGCTCAGTGACTAAGAGCCTGAGGGGAGGGAGGATTGGTGTTTTGCCAACTCTAGAAACGGCCAGCCCCCATTGGCCAGAAACAGCCAACAGTATTGGGCTGAGGGCAGGAGCAGCCATGAGGCACCACTCCCCCCTTCCTCCCTGGCTCACAATTTGGGAAAAACAAAGGGCCCCGCAGCTGCTTTTTTTGGGGGGGGAGAGGTGGGGTAAGCAGGGGAGTCTACCTGAGCCTCCCTGCTGCATCTGCAGGCTGGATTGCTTTGTCCAGGCCTGCTGCAGCACCAGTGCAGGCTCCCTGCTGTGGGGGGAGCAAGAGAGTGCTGGACTCGAACTTCAAAAGAGCCATAGCTGGCTGCCTAGTGTAGGGTTGCCAGGTGTCTGGTTTTGAACCAGACAGTCCAGTATTTGAGCTTTCTGTTCGGGAAAGAAAATGAGAAAATATAAATGTCCGGTATTTTCTAAATAAGATGTAGTATAGATTGTGATGTAATGTCAAGTGTATCTGATATATTTGTTGAAACCATCTGGGAACCCTAGCCTAGTGGGTGATGTTTGCTTCGCGACCGTAGGTTGCCATCCCCTGCACTAAAATGTTGGACAATAGGAAAAACTTCCTAACTGTCAGGGTGGTTAAACACTGGAATAAGTAACCTAGGGAGATTGTGGAAGACAACATCTATCATGGATGAACATTCTAGATGGTGCTTGGTCCTGCCATGGGCGTAGGACCTTGGACTTGATAACCTCTCAAGATGCTTTCCAGTTATGGTATTCAAAAAAAATATTTCACACCAAACTGACATACATTCCCAACATTAATTGTACAGTTGTCTTTTCCGAGCAATGTGTTAAATAATAGGGCAATAAAAAGTTATTGGCTCCTTATAATGTTCATCAAATTTGGACTCACCAGCATTAGAACCAGCTGGGAGACCCCTGGACTCTCTGGAGCGGGTGTAGAGAAACTATTGCAGCGCTGTATACGCACCAAATTTGGACTCACCAGCATTAGAACCTGCTGGGAGATCTCTGGACTCTCGGGGGTGTGTGTAGAGAAGCTATTGCAGAGCTGTATACGCATAAGAGATTCAAAGACTAGACATCCTGGCAACTACCTCAGAAGTGGGAGACATAATGTCCAATTGAACCGCTACCCCAGATGAGCCTTCCTGTCCCTTCAAAAGGCAGGAACTAAGTAGCAGAGCTCAGAGCCTTTCATTCTTTCCCTCCAGAGTAAATCAGAGCCCTGAGATTTCTTGCTTCTCTTAATTTCTTTTTTCTTTCTTCTCTTTTTTCCTTATTATCCTTGTAAGACAGTGAGAGAGAGGTAGAAGGAAAGAGAAGTAGGAGAAAGGATTCCATATTTCTAGGCAAAGAGACAAAGAAAACTGAAAGAAGAGGATCTGGTTGAGAATTACATAATCAGCAATAGTTTGACAATCTTTGTATCTCAGTAGGTGGCTTCGTAATACTTTGGCCTTTTACCCATTGTTGTGCCAATCTTTGTATCTCAGTAGGTGGCTTCATAATACTTTGGCCTTTTATCCATTGTTGTATAATAGTAGAAGAGAGAGGTACAACAATTCTGCTATCAGTTAAACTCATGCAACTACACCATAATTGTGCAGGTTAAATTGAGGACCGATTTGGCACATGGTGAGATTTTAAAATGTTTGTTCCTGATTGTCTTAGGAAAGTATTAATGAGAATCATGATTTCAAAGTTATTGTCATAAAATGTGATACTTATAATTGATTATATTAGAAGGATTTTGAATGCTATTGCATTGCATGGAAAAGCTAAACAAGATGCTTTTTGCATGATTTTCCAGAATTGACTGTGTACGAAATATGGTATGGGTTGCGGCATTTGGAGTACTGTCTTCGGGGTTAGCTGTGCTAAGCAGCTTTGGACTGTTGCTGTTCTGTGGGGTCCCATTTGTTGTGACTGTAGCAAATGCACCATTTCTTATACTGGGTAAGTTGGGGGGGAAAAGGGCATGATGAAAAAGTGTAATGGAAAATGTGCCAGACAAGAGACCATTTTTACATGGCTTGAATCAGGAATCAGCACAATTAAAAGATAAGACCACTGAGTAAATTAATCATTTTCATGGTGTTCACCCATTTTGGTGGTCAGCTGTGCAGAATGTCCAAAATGAGGACTCGGTTCTCTCTGATCATAGAGGAAGATACAGCACAAGAAAGCCATTCAGTTCATTGTGAGATTGGAAGTGGATCCATGCTCCTGAATGCTGTTCTGTATTTTCCATAGCATGAATGAGGGATATATCTTATTGTCTCAGTCATGCTCCTCTTTCAGAAAAATTTGCTGAGAGAGAAATCTCACCTAAAGGCAAGGCACGTGGGGAAATATAATACATTAGGTCATATGTGGATGTGGGGAGGCATGTTTATTTTCTAACTTCACTTCTTGTCAATACAGTGCTTATTGCTCAGCTTTTTTCATTGCATTTACTGACTTCACTTATTTAGCATTTTGCAATTTTCTATTAGAAACTAAGGTGGATGGCCTATACAATAAGCTATTAACCCTTTCCCTTTTGTAGGGGTTGGTGTTGATGACATGTTCATTATGGTCTCCTGCTGGCAACTGACGAACGCTAAAAACAAAGTTGAAAAGAGAATGGCTGAAACGTATGCAGAGGCAGCAGTGTCTATCACAATCACCACGCTCACTGATGTTTTAGCCTTCTACATAGGGATCATGACTTCCTTTCAGTCTGTGAAGTCCTTTTGTCTCTACACAGGAACTGCTTTCATTTTCTGCTATGTATACAACATCACATTCTTAGGAGCTGTTCTTGCTTTAAATGGGAAAAGGGAAGAAGGCAACAGACACTGGCTAATTTGCACAAAAGTGAAGGACACTGTTCAGCCTAATCGCTCCCGCTTGTACAACATGTGCTGTGTAGGAGGCTTTTCTGATAAGTCTTCTGGGACAGGTGGTGAACATCCAGTGAACAAATTCTTTAGAAAGTATTATGGTCCTTTCCTTACAAAATCCTGGACCAAAATGTTTGTGGTTTTGCTGTACGGAGGGTTCCTGGCAAGTAGTATTTATGGATGTACTAAAATGAAAGAAGGTATAGACCTGCGCAATCTGGCTAGTGATGATTCTTATGTCATTCAGTACTATGACTGGGAAAATAAATATTTCTCAGAGTACGGGCCCAGGGTTATGGTCATCATCACAAAAAAGGTACTTTATTGGAATGCATCCGTTCGTAATGACATTGAGAATTGTATGCAGTCTTTAGAAAATAACTCCTATGTGGACAAGAGTCTCTCAGAGTCATGGCTAAGAGCGTATGGAAATGTTGCTAGAAATAATTCCCTGAATATAAATAGTAAGGCTTTTTTCATGGGTAATTTATCTCGACTATTTACATTATTTCCAGAGTTTGAATGGGACATTGATATTAGCTATCGGGAAATAGCAGCCTCACGCTTCTTCATTCAAACAGTCAATGTTACTACTGCAGTTGATGAGAAAAACCTTTTAAACCAATTAAGAGACATAGCCAAAAACTGTGAGATGCCATTAATGGTATATCACCCAGCATTTATATACTATGATCAGTATATTGTAATAGTGCCTAACACCATTCAGAATATTGGAATTGCTGCTGGAGTTATGTTGTGTGTTTCCTTGCTGCTTATTCCCAATCCGCTGTGCTCCTTGTGGGTAACTTTTGCTATTGCTTCTGTTATTGTTGGCGTTGCTGGTTTCATGACATATTGGGATGTTAATCTTGATTCCATATCTATGATCAACCTTGTCATTTGCATAGGGTTTTCAGTAGATTTTTCTGCTCATATATCCAATGCATTTGTTTCAAGTGAAAAGTCAACTGCGAATGAGAAGGCAGTTGATGCACTGCATCTTCTTGGTTACCCTGTGATACAAGGTGCTATCTCCACTGTATTAGGAGTACTTGCACTAGCTGCATCAAAAGCTTACATCTTCAGAACATTTTTTAAGATTATGTTTCTCGTTATCTTCTTTGGAGCTCTTCATGGTCTTGTTTTTATTCCAGTATTTTTAACATTTGTTGAAATTTGTGGCAAATCAAACAAAAGAGTAAATTTAAAAACAACAGAAGAAATTAGGAACTCCTTTAGTAACACACAAAATGTTTGGCGTTATGAAAACCAGACTTGTAGTGAAGGTACCAATGATATTAGACTACGTAATGATATTGGAATGGAAAAACCAAACAGTGACTACCTCTACTCCAATATCAGTCCAGTTTCTCAAAATCATGACATCAGTTCTTGCCTCTTTCAGAATAATGCAGTATTACTTTACGGAAAAAAAATCGAACAGCTTCATGAGGAAGGTAAAATAAATCCAGATTGTCCATAAATGTACATAAAATTTAAAATACAGCATATCAACCAAAAAGACCATGTTGAACATTTCACAACATTAATCTACAGATTTATATTAGCATTGTAGAAAATGTCAATTTTGTACTTTTAAGGTTTAACACCTAGGCTTTATCTACACCACAAAGAAAAGTCTGAAAAAAATACACAAGTTGCAAACCATGATTTGCATATCTTTTTCCATTTTTCTTCCAAAAGAGGCTACTCTGACATTTGGCCCGTCTACACGGGGCCAAATATCAGGAAAAATCCCTCTTTCGGAACATCCTTTCTGTTTTGTAGAACCAAGTTTAAAGTGATGCTGAAAAAATGCATCTGCTTTTCCGAATGTTTTTTCGGAAAAGCAGACTCATTCCTTGGACACAGCAGAGCAACTGTTGGTCTCACACCAAACAGATAACTGGTGTTCTGCACCCCCTGGAAGATGATAAGGCAACTGAAACCCTCCCAAGGAATGACACCTCCTCAAAGGAAGAATGCAGGATCTTTTTTGCAACTGCAGAGCCAATTTATTTGACCTGCCTACAAGAGAGATTGTAACAAATTAAAGGTCTACATACTGTTATCCTGTTCTGTGGGTGCAACATGTAGAGCTGAAATTGTAGGCTAAGTAGTGTTCTGTGTTAGGTTGAGAGAGGCTGGAGAGATGTCATCACTAGTCCCTGCAACATTTGAGTCCACTCTCCACAAGGGAATGCTCTTGTTGAGACCATGCTGTGCAGCAGATTCCAGGGAAGCCACTCCATAAAAGATGGGTTGGGGCTCTGCAAGTATCCCAGATTAACCTTCCATGTCCATCAGGGTGTGCCTCAGTCCACGAAGAGCACAATTTGCTCCATGCTGTGCAAGTGCTGCTACATGTGCCCAGGGCAGATTTTTCCTGTGCTGCTACATGTGCCAGCTGCCTATTTATCCATGTTGAATATTTCTTTTTTATTCCTTTTAAGGTTTGCAAAACCTCTTCATAGAAGCTTAAAAGAAAAGACCGTCTCTTGTCAATTCTTCAAGGGAAGTCTTGGGGTGGGAGTCCTCAGGGCCAAACTGGCCAGACACATCTAATTGTGATAGGAAGATCCATCCTCCCATGAGGGCACAATGCAGTCTGAGTTTTGTGGTGATGGTACTCATGGGTGGTAACAGCCCACTTCCCTCCCTTTGAGCCACAGAAAGTGTTGCTGTGGAAGAAAGCAAAGGAGACTGGGAGTGAGTTGGTTGCTCTGGTTTTGTTACAGTCTCCATCCTGGCAGTATTTACTTCCTCAGGGGAGGTCAACAGACTTGCCGGGTCCCTGGGCAAAGTGTGTGGGGGGGTAACTTTGTGATCCCAGAAGGGGTGGGAACTCAAGCAGAAGGGGTGGGATGGGGCAGCCAGCTCTCAGCACTGCCTGGAATATACTACACTGGGGCTCCTTCCCCCTAGCCAGCCCTCAGAGCTGCCCTGGGGTGCTGCACTGTATCCCAATGGCAATTTTAAAGGGCCAAGAGTTCCAGCAGCCACTGCTCCTACCCTGGAGTAACTGCTCTCTCTCCTCCCCCTCCTTTCCCCTCCAACTCCCACTTTGGCAGGCCTGTGCTTCCTCCACATATACCTGAGAATTTGCACATTATGGCTTAGTCTACACTGCAGGGTTTTTGCGCAAGAAGGCTTTTGCAGAAGAGTTCTTGCGCAAAAACTTCTTGCACAAAAGCGTGTCCAGACCTCAAAGAACATTGCAAAAGGCTTGAGGCCTATGAACTTTGGCATGGATAAAAACAGGTAACCGAGAAGTTACAGAGACTGGAAGTAGGATGTAAGGGGGAGTTTTGTCCATAATGGTATCAGCCAACCACAGAACATGAACTGACACCAGCTTCTGGAAGGGTTTTGGATAGAACATCCAACCACAACAGTGCAATGGCAAGGAATTGACATATATGATAATGGGGTGAAATTATTAATATGCTAAGCTATAGAAAAAGGACACCTTAATGTTGGTAAGGAGAGGAAATACAAATAAGGAAGAAGGGGGAAATCCCTATTGAGCATGCATTAGACGTGATAACCTTAGTGTAATGTTTTATTTAAGTGGCATTCCAGAACAGCAGAGGTAGAGATGTAGATCTTGGGAGGCGCCAAAATACTGGTCACTAGTGCAGAGGAGGAAGGTGATGGTGATGAGGAAGATAATAGCTAACATTTTTGGTCATTCTGCGAGGAATGGTGTGAGCACGGATGTTCAGATGTATTTTTTGTGTTATCTCTATATACCCTGCTGAGTACTGAGTGTGTGTGGCTTTGCTAAATGTATTTATAAATTATTTATTTGTAAGTAAACAAGCATTTCTATTGTGTGTGTTACACTTTTGCACATTTGAATTCCCAAACATAGACTGATTGTAATAATAATCTGACTGGGCCTGATCTTGGCACAAGAACTTGTCAAAGTGATAACTAGAAATCTTTAGATCAGGCTACAACACATGGGTATTTGGCTGGATGTCTCCTGAAAGACCATGACTCTTGAGAGAGGATTTATTGTTTCTGTGATATTTGGGAGGCTATGGATAAATACGAACAATGCGACAAGAATGATTAAAGGTTTAGAGAACATGACCTATGAAGCCAGGCTTCATGAACTGGCCTTGTTTAGTTTGGAAAAAAGAAGATTAAGGGGGGACATGATAGCGGTTTTCAAATATCTAAAAGGGTGTCACAAGGAGGAAGGAGAAAATTTGTTCCTCTTGGTTTCTGAGGACAGGACAAGGAGTAATGGGCTTAAAGTGCAGCAGGGGAGGTTTAGATTGGACATTAGGAAAAAATTCCTAACTGTCAGGGTGGTCAAATATTGGAATAAATTGCCAAGGGAGGTGGTGGAATCTCCCTCTCTGGAGATATTTAAGAACAGGTTAGCTAGACATCTGTCAGGGATGGTGTAGACGGAGCTTGGTCCTGCCTTGAGGGCGGGGGGCTGGACTCGATGACCTCTTGAGGTTCCTTCCAGTCCTATTATTCTATGATTCTATGAATGCATTCATAGAGGACAGACACAAACTTCTAACCATACTGTGGAGATCTGACTGTCCTGGAAGTTTGAGTATGAAGTGATGATCCTAAAAAGCCCCGTAATGCCCAGTGGCAAAGGGAACACTATACTATAACTCATATTAGGCCAGACACACTCACTACCCCCATAATATGTATCCAAATGGTATCTTATGAGGTGTTGTATGTAAAATTGTGATGTACAGGTCAGGCATATCATTGTGTGATAAATGTGTGGGTTGTATATCAACAGTTATATTCTTCTGCTGGAGTTATGTCCTTAAAATATAAAAAAAAATCAAGCCTGCCTTTGATAAAGGAAAGCATAGAAGCTAACAAGCTGTGGGAGAAACATTTGTCACCACACGGACATGAGTCTGCTCTCTGAGGGAGTATTCCTGACTATTGAGACACAGACCATGGACTTTGGAAAATATAAAGGGAGCAAAAAGACATTCTAGCTATACAACACAGGGAACAAAGGAGAGAGCACCCTCTAATTCTGTGCATGTTGAATCCTCTAGCTTGGGGGGCTATATATGCAAAGATTATAATTTGCTAAATAAAATTTTAGAGCGTAGGTGGTGTGTTTTGTTTTGATTTAACCATGCCTGTCTTTTTTCTCTTGTTCAGTAGCACTTACATCTATGGCTTTTATTATTAAACTTTTTCTTTGACTATAAACTTTTGTACTGTCATATTGAAGTAAAATCTGACGTGTGATCCAGTCTCCTGGATTCCTTTCCCCCTCAGTATGATAGGGAAGTGTGAGCACCTGAAGTGGGAAGCAGAAATAAGCGAGAGCCAGAATGACCAGACACCCTGTTTTTAAAGGGACAGTCCTGTATTTAAGCCCTCTTGCAGGTGTCCAGACTCTTAAAAATGGACAAAATGTCCCATAATTTCTGCCTCCCGCTCTTTCCTTGTCTGGAGGTTCAATCACCACCAACACAAGTTTTTTAGAAAGAGAGAGTAAAACTGAAAAATGGAGGAGAGCCCTCATGTTGGTATACGGGTTAAAAAAGGTCTCTTGGTTCTTCTTCGGGTAGCCCCCATGGGTGCTCCACATCTGGTGTTGGGCTCGTCCTGGTGCCGCGAATTGGAGGATTCATATAGCTGTATTCGGCCGGACCGTGCATGCAGAAGCGCTCGAGGCCATTCGTGCCTTTTCCTCTCCGCGCGTGGTCCGGTGTAGCGAGCAAAACACTAACTT